TCGTCTTTCTGTCCTCCGTAAAATGTGATGATCCCAATGGTGAAGTCATCTAACGTCTCTGGAACATTCTTGGTCAAATTGTATCCAAGGGAAGAAAAAATTGCTTTAATAAGGCAACAGACAAAAGTTGCCTCTTGAACGTTGTACTTGCTGAATGATGCCGTTTTTGCCTCTTTTGAGTTGCACACATCAAAGACCAAATAAGGATAAATTGGAATGTCCTCATTCCAGCCAATTTTGTCCGTTTCCAGTTGATCATTGTAGAACTTCCAGGAAGGAAACTGACAAATATCCTCCACCATTCGGTACTGACGCTGCAGCGTTAACACCGGACTGGCCGAGTAGGCATTTTGAGACTCGGTGTTTTCCAGGTGGCAGTAAAAACGCTCAAACATCGATCGACCGTAGCCTTTGCTCAGGGCAGAGTTAGATTTAACGGTAGCGGGCAGTTGCAGGTGATCACCAATTAGAATCAGTTTTGAGGTCGGGTAGACGAGCGGCATCAACAGTTCCGGCTCCGTCGACTGACCCGCTTCGTCGATGATGATACAGCGAAATGGAGTGCCTTTCTTAAAATCCTCCATACAGTCATTTTGAACACTGTTTAGCGTACTTAGGATGACATGAGCATCTTTAAGCACTTTCTTCTCTTGCTCCTTCCGTTGTGCATAGCTTTGTTCCCGGCTCACTTTCGACTGTAGGTGACAATGGGCCACCTCTGGATGGACTTTGTCAAAGTTACCAATTCGAACGAGTTTCAGGTTGGTTTCCAGTAGTCTGAGGGCAATCGCATCAATGGCGCCATTGGAAGGCGTGCAGATGAGAATGCGATCAGGTGTTGATGTGAAAGTGTTGTTTTTCAGCAGAAGACTCTTTACAATGGCCACCAGTGTGTGCGTTTTCCCAGTGCCTGGAGGACCTAGTGAAAAAAGACAAATTTTGTCATTTCATATAAATTAACAAGTTTTCCTACCTTGTATCATCACCGTTTGATTCAAATGCTTTTTTTGATTTACTGCATTAAAACAGGCAACAATAGCATCTTTTTGCTTGCTATTAAACTTTTTCGTGTCATCAGGCATTCTAAAATTGTCAGGTTGCTCAAAATTAGTTGCAAAAACACTGCGGTCAGGATTAAGAAAAGCATTTTTGAAGTCTGTTTTGTAGCACATAGACGACAACGTTTCTACTTGACGAAGAATGGGTCGAGTATAACAAATTGGTGTAATAGTTAAAGTATCTTTTCTGTTTTCAAGAAGCGTTTGAAACGCTGAACTGTCGAAAACTGCCACTGTGTACTCTACTTTTTTATAGTCAGAAATTAGTCGGTGGGGATTGAACTTTCGACGTATATCCTTTTCTAGCTCCCAGTTATAGTTTAAAACTAAACCCAACGCTGTTTTTGTCTTATTAGCAAGAACAGTAGGATCTCGACTCTCTTCGACTTGTACAAGAACAAGATTTTCTTCAATTTTGTACTTTTTAGCATGAAGATATTTCCATTCGATTTGTGTTCTCAAATAGAGCAAGCAATACTCTTCCTTAGTTATTGTGACGTTCAGCTCCAACTCTAATGGGGAACTTTTTGGTTTTTTTTCTTCATCCTGCTCAAAGAAGTCACTGACAATCTGTGCCCAACCATTGTAGAACATCAGCGATAGGTAGTACTGCTTGTACATGGAAATAGAATCATAAGTCAAAGGCAGCTCACTCAAGTTGTGGATGAACATGTTTTTAGCCAAAATGTGATTGGTGATCAGCTCTGTAGTTTTCTTTTTATCATCTTTTGAATTGTCCTCTCGTAAGGCGGCCAAATCAAGAGAAAGGAGCGCTTTGAGAAATGCTTCTCCGTCATTTTCGTAAAAAGTATCTTTGTCCTCTGGTGGCTGCAAGTAGTAGTCATCATCATTGTAGACGGAACGGGCTGGGTGAAACGAAATTGAAATTTGTTGTTCAGGTTGTTCTGAGCCAGAAAGCTGAACAATGGGCGATATTTCATTTCCCATGGCAGTTAATTTGTTTATAGTTTGTGGTTTTTGTTGGCTGACCGAAGGTGTTGTTGCGTTGATGATGGCGATGGAAATAAAAAACCTACGCCTAGTTATAAACGGAAGAAATCACAAAAGTTGCCTACGATGTAGCTCCAGTGTAGATGTTACTTGAGAGAAGTATGTGTAGTGTTGAGATAAGATTCTATGACGGTTG